GTGTCCCAGGCTCAAACCATGAATTACGTCGGGCAGCTGGCGGGCCAGGTGTTCGTCACGGTGAAGGAGCTCTACAAGGGCCTGAACCCCGCCACGCTGTCTGGGTGCATCGACATCATCGTTGTCCGCCAGCCCAACGGGAGCCTGCAGTGCTCCCCGTTCCACGTGCGCTTTGGGAAAATGGGGGTGCTGCGCTCCCGGGAGAAAGTGGTAAGAGGGCGGAGCGTGGTGGGGGCGGGCGGGCCTCGGGGCTTCCCTCGATTCACTTTCATTCATTTTTCCTCGTTGCGGTCACGCTGCGGTACCCGTTTTGCAGGTTGCAGTGTTTCCGAATAGCGGCTGCCTTAGGTTCGCCACTGCGGCCGGTGCAGCCTTCACCCCACGAAGGGCCCCCTTGACCCGATTTCCACCCCGTTGTCGCCCCTGGTGCTCACGCACTGGGGCAGTAGGGAGCCCGCGGGCCTGGCCTGGGACAGGGGTGTGTGGGCCAGCGCCCGTGCTTCGTGGACAGCGTGTGGAGCCGGGTGGACCCGTGGGGATTTGGAATTGTGAGGTTTTCGGGTGTCTGCGGTGAAGCCCGACACGCGGAGCGGCGTCCTTGAGAGGCTGCGGGCGGTGTGGGAGTCCCGCCTCCTCGAATGCGTGTCTCTCCTTCAGGTGGACATAGAGATCAACGGGGAGTCTGTGGATTTGCATATGAAACTGGGGGACAATGGAGAGGCATTTTTCGTCCAGGAGACTGATAACGACCAGGTGAGGGGCCGGGGCAGGGCCTCTCCCGGGCTTGAGCTCTGTGCACAGGCGCACGTGGTTCCGGGAGGCTGGGTGGGACCCCGAGTGGCTGGGGCCTGTGCCCCCCGCAGGCCTCAGCACCCCTGGCGCTCCAGGTGCTGGGTCCCGTGTCCCAAGCACAAGCTGAACCCGAGCTTGGGACTCAGGTGGCTGCTTGTTCTGGTGTTTGCTGGATGCGTGACCGATTGACTTGAGTTTTTTTTTTTATTGTTTTTAAATTTGTAACAGCTCTGTTGAGGTGTGATTCTTCCACCATATAATTCGCTCAAGTGTATGACTCAGTGGGTTTTAGTATTTTCACAGGGTACATGCAGCCATCGCTCCAGTCAGTTTTACAATCTTTTCTTACAACCGTTCCCTTGAGCTACGCCCCCACCAGCCCTCCCTCTCCCCTGCCCCAAGCAACCGCCCATTCAGCTTCTGTTTCTCTGGCTGGACTACGTGGTCCTTTGGGCCTGACTTTCTTCATTTAGCCTACTGTTCCCTAACGGTGCCAGCCCTGCACCCCACCCAGTGTGGGGCACCCAGTGCCCCCTGGTCCCTACACCCCACCCTTAGTTCTCCCGCCCTTTGGGCCTACTGATCGTCCACCGGCAAGTTTTCATATGGACCTGTGTTTCTGCCAGTCCTGGGTCCGGACCCAGGAGCGGAATTGTTGGGTCACGCGGAGGCTGCCTGAGCGCTGTGCCGGCTGAGGCACCACTAACTCACGCTCCCGCCAGCCCAGGTCGAGAGCTCTGATTTGTTCTCCCCTCGGCATCCCCATCCGACCGTGTGGTGCCCGAGTCACCAGCTTCTCTTTGGAAACGGTTTTCTGTCCTTCAGGAAGTGATCCCCATACACCTGGCCACCTCCCCCATCCTGTCCGAGGGGGCCTCTCTCATGGAGTGCCAGCTGAAAAGGAACTCGGTGGATCGCACGAGAAGCCTGGACTCCAGCACGTCTGTGCAGGTGCTGCCGCCCAGCGAGACCTCCTCCAGCAGCTCCGTGGTGAAGAAGAGGAGAAAGAGGCGGAGAAAGTCCCAGCTGGACAGCCTGAAGAGGGACGACACCGAGAACACCTCAGAAGATGAAGACGTGTTCCCCATAGAGATGAGCTCCGACGAGGAGACGGACCCGCTGGACAGCAGTAGGTGCGTGTGGACGGGGCAGGGCTGGACCGGCGCAGGGCCAAGGAGCTGAGGAAGATGGTTCCTCACATCGACCAAACTAGCTTTGGGCTCACACAGCCCCAGTCCGAAGGAGTGGGAGGACGTGGTGGCTTGCGGTTAAGCGGCTTTGCAAGGCCAGCACCCAGGCGCCTGACCTAGCAGAACAGAGCCGAGAAGCAGGAACTGAGCAGACCAGCTGCTCATGCGTGAAGCTGGGTCTCAGATCCTAGTCTGCCCCGGGCCCCTGCCCTGCGCACGCAGCCACAGGGCTTGTTCAGCCGGGGCTGACAGGTGACAGATTCAGAGTTACGCCGAGACCGGGCGCAGGACCTTCCCTTTTCCATTTTGATCAGGCCGGTGGACTTCGGCCGCGCTTGGTTTTGCTTCCACTGGCTGGGGAAACTGTTTTTGTGTGTCAGGCTGGGTGAAAGTGACGGCTTTGAAAGACAAAGGTGAAGCGCATTTGATGTCTCACATTTTCATGGAACTCAGTGTCCTTTGTGAGAATTGCTTTCATCTCTTTACCCCAGAGCAGGGCCCGTCCGCTCCCCTGCTTCCGTGCTGAGCACAGCCGATGTCTCCCCCGCAGAGCAGCCACACTGGGTCCCATCCTCTCCCTGGTGGCCCCACAGGAGGGGACGGGGTGGGGGTAGCCTTTGATTGCAGGACGAGCGACGGGGGTCTCAGCAACATGAGTTTCCAGCGGGGGCCCGTCAGCGAGTGTGGAGTAGGCGGCCTGTCTGGGTGCTCGGACGTGACAAAATCACGACGAAGCGCAGCGGGCAGGCTCCCCAGATGGGCCCTGAGCCAGGCCGTTTCAGTCATTTGTAGTGACCAGCGGCTACCTATGTACTTGGCTGACATTACTCTGCCAGTGAGCTAGGACCTGTGTACGGCTGCTCACCCAGTGGCCCCTGCCGTCTGTGGGGAGCGCTTTCACCCCGCAGCCGGTTTCGTGGGGGGAGGTGGACCTGCCAGGAGCCCCGCCCAGGCTCCATCCCAGCCCGGGGCCGACGCGCTCCTACCTGCGGTCCTTCCCCCCGCTCTGTCTGCCCACTGCCCGGAACGCGTCATGGTTTAAAAAGAGCAGAACTGGGGGGTGCTCAGGTTCTCAGCTCTGGGGCCGACGCGGTGACGCCGTCTTCTCCTCTCCAGAGACCTCAGCGACAGGCCGCCGTTCCCGGACGAGGCTCCTAAGGAAGACCTGCCCCCGGGGCGGTCCTACCCCCAGTCGGCGTCTTACCCTAATTCCGACAGAGAGTGGACGCCCAACACCAGGTGAGCGCCGCCCCCCGGGGGCCCCACGCCTGAGGTGTGGCCAGCAAAGTAGTGAATTATAAATTCAAAAGGAGAACCTCAGGGCCAGACAAGATGCAGCTCAGAGCAGGGGTGCAGGCCAGGGTGATGCACGGGGTCACCGCGGGCTTCTGTCTCACGCTGATGGGGCTGCTGCCCTGGGCCCCCAGCGGCGTGGCCGCTCGTCGTTAGCGGACACGCGGGCTCCGCCTGCCTGGACACTTAGCGCCCAAGAGCGTGGCCGCAGCCCCGTTCACACGCTGTGAGAGCGAGGCATTGTCCTGGCCGTGGCTCGTTCTGCAGAGTTCTGGGCTATTTCTTGCCTTTATTTCCTGAAATGAACAGGTTGCCCAGCACAAACCAGAGCTGCTCAGGGGCACACTGCCTTCCCGAGGGCTCCAGAGACCTCAGTCAGTGAGGCTGAGCGGCTCCTGCAGCCTTGGGGGGAGGTGGGGGACAGTCCAAACCCCGCCTTCTCCACTGGGATGACTGTCACCCCGATTCAGCCAGTAAATTCTGGCCTCGAAAAATTGTAGACATAATTGTCTGTGGCCTCTACTCAGGTCAACCGTGAATCACAGCACTGAAATTTCAAGGAGGAAGAAGGGTTACTGGGAAGAAACGCCCCCAGTGCCCCCAAATGCCCCGGGGTGTGGTGGCAGGGGTTGGGAGCCAGCCCTCCAGCTCAGGCGACATGATGCCGGGGTGCGCCGAGGCCGCAAGGGCTCACTTTTCTGGGGCGTAAGAGGGGTGCTGAGGACCCTGCGCAACCCCGGCAGGTGCAGCCAAGATTTCCTCCCCAAAGCCAGCCTCAGACCTGCCCCCTCATTCAGCGCTGGCACGGTGCCCGAGGGAAAGAGATCGGTCACCTCTCCTGGCTTCACACAGCAGCTCCGTCAGCCAGGTGTCCCCTCCCGGGGTGCCTCGTCCAGCAGACACTCACGCCGGAGGGCTTAACAGCTTCTCTTGGCCATACGTAGAAAAGAGACGGGTTGACACAAGTTGCAACCCTCCCTTTGACCCCTCAGCCAGATGCTGGCCTGTGCGAGTCACCGGGTGGGAGAGCTGAGGTGGTTTGTGGGTTCAGGCTGGTTTGCCAAGGGCTGGCTGCCGCGGTTCCGAGCCCCTCGGGGAGGAGTCACGGGCTGGGGCCCAAGGCTGTCCTGGCGGCCACTGGACACTGTCCCGGAGGCTTTTTTAGAACCTCCCAGTCCTCTCCCTGTGAGGTCTGTGGAGATGGCCCCCACGGTGGCCTAGTGAGAAACCATGAATGGGCTAAAAAAAGTCTGTTTGACCACTGAGGTGAGTGGTGAGGGCTTTACGTAAATGCCGTTAAGTGTTGGGGGCTTTCACATTTTGCTCCATCAGTCCAGAATGCTGACGGTGTCCGCACTGTGGGTCTGACCCGTGTCTACTAGAGACACAAGTTAGGGTAAACAGACACATTTCCATGCTGGGAACCATGGGTTTTTTTGCAGACAGCTGTCAGCCTGGCTCCCTGGAGCCTCAGTGAGGCTCTCCATTTTGCCTAGAAAAAAACATCTTTTATGGGCATGCGGATGAAATAGAAAGTGAAATGGGTCTTTTTTTGGCAATTTCCTGTTTTTGTGGCTCAGAAGATGTGTGCTGATTTCCAGCCAGAGACCTCAACTTGTGTCAGCTCCCAGGGGTGCTCACTTTCTCACAGATATTGTTGTTGCAAGTAGTCAAGTAAGGCCCGTGGTTTCCGCTGCATTTCATTGACCTGATTGTTTCTCTCTCTCTCCCCATGTCTCCCCTCCTCCCGTAGCCCGCTAGATTGCGAAAGGACACCCCCTCATCTTGCAGTAGCGATGGAGGGAGGCCTTTCTAGCTCTTGCCCTCCGCAGCCCTCCCACTTCCTTGCTTCGGAAAGGTAGAAAGGGGCTCCTTCCCGCGGGGTGTCCTCATGCAACTCTCGCCCTAACACCCGCAGGTGGAGCGTGGAGCTTCCCGTTAATCAAGCTAACTATGCGCAAAACTCATGTGACGAGATGCAGCGGGCAGTTTGATCTAACGCTCACCCGTCTTTTACTCACTAACCAAATGATGAAGAAAACACACATCGATAATTGTTTTCCTTTCACTGTAAGCTTTTGTAGAATAGTAGATGTTTCTTGGAGCGCTCGCTCTGACTCCCTGAAGGCTGAGCCCTAAATTCTTCCTCTTGCTGTCCAGAGCTTTGAAAAAGTAATGAAGTAAAAATCGGGCATGTGATCATTCGCTTTATCTCCTTTTGGGTTGTTCAACAAATAAGCTCGCGAGCTCTCTGCCAGTGTTAGTGTAAGTGGCCCAGCAGCCGTGGGACACGGAGGCTTTCCAGAACGATGCTAGAGCAGGTGTCTGGAGAGCCGCCGCGGGGGACGGGGCTGTTTCCACTTGGGGCCGGGGTCCGAGCCTCCCTGCTCCGACCTGCGTGTTGCCGCACGGCAGGCTGCCCGCCCCGGGCGCTCGGGCGCCTCAGTTGATGCGTCTCAGCAAGCGGGGCGATGCATTTCCACATGGGGAGCTTTTTCACTCAAGAGCTGACTCTCGGGGTGCTCTTCCTGCAGGGGAGCCGCTGTCTCAGACTGAGGTAGACCGAGTCACAGGTGCTGGGAACTGTGGCACGGTCATCAGGGAGGATTAGGCAGTCAGTCAGCGAGCTCGCAGGCTTACTTTTTGAACAACCCTCGGCGTTGGCAGCTGGGGAGACCGGCATCCTCTTTCTCACGACACCCTCTGCGCTGGGGTGTCCTCGCCCCTGGCGACCGGAGGGGAGGGCTGAGTGGCCTTCACGCAGAGGTTCTTCCGGTGGTGAAGGTGAGCGGTGGCCCGGGGCTGTCCACAGGGCGGCGTGGTCCTGGACGACTGGGCGTGGTACGCGGAGTGCCGGGAAGCCTCCTGGCTGCTGCGAAGCAGCTATGCGTTTGGGCTTTGGGGAGATGCCGCAGGAGAGCAGGGCGGTGGGGGGTGTAGGGTGTGGGGGGGGGCTCATCCTCCCCAGCCCCGGCCCCACACATGCAGCCGCCAGCGGGTCTGGCCCGCTGCTGGCTGTTTCTGTCGCGTTCTGTGGGAGCCCAGTGAGCTGGACCCGAGGGCTGTCCACACGCGGGAGGCTTGTTCGACGGCACTTCTCTGTCACGCCGATGACAAGGAACCACACCTGGCTGGCTTTGACGCGAAGGACGTTTTCTGAGGAGTCATTTCGCTCCCTCGCGTTTTCTGCGCCCGGCGGGTCGCCTCCGGTGGGACTCCGGCGGGACCCGCAGGCCTGGGGCGTTTGCCGTGGGCAGGAACGATCGCCGCCCCTCCTCTCCAGCATGGCCGCCAGGGGGCTCCGGGGGTGGGGGCGTGGGCCAGGCCTCGCGGGGCGTGTGGCGAGCGTGGCGCGTGCCGGTGCGTGGCGGGCGGTGCTGCTGTGAGCTGGCTTTCGCCAGGGTCGCGCCCCGGCTGGAGGGGCTGACGGGGCTGACGGGCTCCGGCCGCCGCCGCGGCCCCCTCAGAGGCCAGCGCTCCGTGCACGTGTCCCTGGTGTGCGCGCGTAGCCGGCCCCTCAGCGCCGCCTGGAGAAGAGGGTCAGAGGACAGAGCGCGCGCGGCGGAGAGCAGGCGCTCCAGCGCCACCCGCTGGCCTTCCTCGGGCCCGTCGGGGGGCCAGAGCTGGTGTGTGCTGTGCGCGTGTGCGCTTGCGCGAGCGTGTTGCGACTGCACGCACACGTGCGTAGGCGCCCGTGTGAATGTGTGCACACGTGTCTGCACTGCGAGTGCCGGTGTGTACGTGAGTGCGTGCAAGTGTGTATGCACACGCGTGGCTGCGAGTGCACGTGAGTGCGTGTGAGTGTGCACGCCCCTGTGATGCATGTGTGAATGCGTGCGCACACATATATCTGCACGTGTGTGTGTGTGTGTGTGTGTGTGTGTGTGTGGGGCCCGTGTGTGTGCCACGTGTGTGTTTTTGTGGGTGTGTGTGTGTGCGTGTGTGCATGCACATGTGGGACTGCGCGTGAGTGTGAGTGCACACGTGGGATGCACACGTGCATGTGTATGCACGTGTATGTTTGCACATGCGACAGTGTGAGTGCGTGCGAGGCCCTCATGCATGCACACATGTGAGTGCTTGTGTGTATGTGTGTGAGTGTGAAGCTCACGTGCATGCAACACGTGCTTGTGTGTATTGAGTGTGTGCACGTGTATGCACACGTGACTGAGTGCGCACGAGTGTGCGTGTGAGCGCACACGTGCGATACATGCACGTACGTGCGTGCATGTGTGTTTGCACATGTGACTGTGACGTGTGTGTGCGTGGGCGCGTGTGAGGCCCACCGTTGGTGCTCTGTGCACACACTGGCGGCCAGGAGCCTGGGCAGCGGGCACCCAGGAGACGGGGTCGGCCTGGGTGTGTCTAGTCCACGGGGTTCCACCAGGGTCCAGGGTCCCCTTAGCCTGGAAGCCTGCTGGGCACGAGCTCGGTGGCACCGGGGTGCGCCAGGCTCTGCTGCCCTGTGGTGAGAAGCCGGGAGTCTGAAAGGGGGACACGGGGGGTGGGGGGAGGGAGACACGGGGCCTTCCTGCTGTGGAGCCTTTGGAGGGAGCGACGCGGGAGCAGACTCGGGGCGTTTCCTCCGCTCTGTGTGGGGGTCCGGGCGTGTCTCGAGAGGAGGCGATGGCTGGACACGGGGCTGGTGAGCTCTCCCCTGGTGGCGAGAACGCAGGTCGGGCCCCTTACAGCCCGCCCGAGGGTGACACCCCGAGGTGCTGGTGTAAGCAGCCCCTCGGCAGCTGGGGAGCCCCAAAGAAAGCCTGGGAGTCAGACGGCTGGAGGCCTGTGGGCAGTTGGCGTGGCCTCTCCACCTTCAGAGCGGGAGCCGTCACAACGCTGTGACGTGACTTTAGGGCGTGAAGTATGGGGGAGGCAGAGGCGCCCCGGAGCCCCGAGGGCCCGAGCGCCTGGGCTGGAGGCCCGGTTTCCGTCTCCCTCCCCGCTGGTTTTCAGCCTTGCGGCGCTGGGCTGGGTGACCCGGTCGGGAGGGGTGACCGGGTCGGAGGGGTGACCGGGTCGGGAGGGGTGACCGGGTCGGGAGGGCCTCCCCCGGACACGTGCGCCCTGCACCCTGGGGACCCTGGCTGGGCTCCGCACCAAGGTCCTGTGCCCAAGACAGCACACTTTGGGTGACTTTTCTGGGCTACTCGAGCCGTAGAATTCTGGGCTGAAAACACATGAAAACCAGCGTTTGTGTTTGGCACGTCAGTCACGTGTCTGCCTTTTCTCCAGCCCTTCAGTTTCCCGGCCTTCAACACCTAAAAGCGATTCAGAGCTGGTCAGTAAGTCCCTGGATAGACCGAAGAACAATCTAGAAATGCTCTGGCTCTGGGGAGAACTGCCACAAGCCGCCAAGGTCAGTTTCCCCGCCCTGAGGGTTTCC